TTTTATATTCCTGAGAAGAAATGTACTATTGTGTTCATGTATGTCGGTTGAAACAACATGTCTACGCATTTTCCTCATCATGGTGATTTCAATAACAAAGAAATATCCTTTTTAGCTAATATCCTACATAAATTCCAATATGGTTATGGAGAATAACGACTAAAATCATTATCTAATATGATCGCCATTATGAATGTTTTGAAAAAGAAGATGCTGTATGATTGCAAGCAAGAGAACTATCCATGACATAAAGGATCAAAGGACGAGAATGTAAGCAACTATAGGGCACCATACAGTCTTCAACAGTGGGCAAAACCCGTACAGTATTGGAAGTAATATAGAAGGCCCCTGGATGACACAAGAGAAAACCAATGGTCCAAGTTATTCTAAACAATAAACGAAAAATGACTATCGCAGATAGTAACCAACGACACAAACAAAATGACTGGTTTCTGACTTTGGACAGATGCAAAAAGAATATGGCCGGTTTTAATGCGTTTACGTAAATACGCTTACTAAGGTCCATAACCTAGGACAGTGGTGTTTGAAAAAAATAGGATATGAAATGATTTGTCATTAGTAAAAAGGTTTTTACAAGTACAGCCAAACTCCATCACCAAATTATGTTCGTATCTATTCAATATTTACATTTAAAGTGCAACACGACAGGTTCCACATGTGGACCATGAACTGCTGACCCTTCCGAAGCACCTGGGTTCAACCCCAGTTTTTGGTTGGGTTCGTGTTGCCAGTCTTTAGATTACTATGTTGTGTTTTGCATACTGTTGTTACTTTTTGGTCTTTTTTTTTTTTGCCATGGCGTTGTCAGTTTATATTCGACTTATGAGTTTGAATGTCCTTTTGGTGTCTTTCGCCCCTCTTTTAGTTGAGGGTTAAGTGTTTTCTGGTAACGAAACCCCGGAATCTATCAGTTTTACACAGTTAATGACCACTGTCTTCTACAAAGTCATTTCAGACACGAAAAACGTGAACGAACTAGGATATTTAGACATCGTTAAAAAGCACAAGAAAAACATCGTCGTCCAAAAAGGAAAATTAACAATAGGGAACAAAAATAATTCTCATTTTTTTATAGGGTTTCTCGTGTGAAACTAAATATCAATATCAGCAAAAGGACAACTGTTGGTGACTATATTAGATATATTCAAAATCAGGTGTCTTGGAGAATTTTATGAAGTTTTTAATATAAAATCAGAGAATTCCAACCGTTTTTCCAAATTTTTACATCTTTACTTATTATATTAGTTTGTTTTGCTCACACATTGTTGTCAATATAATGACATTCTATGCAACTGTCATACAAGTTAGATTTTAAGTTACCTATGAAACCAGGTTTCATCTACCATTTCTTCATAAGGAAATGTCTGTACCAAGTCAGGAATATGACAGTTGTTTGCCATTCGTCTAATGTATTTAAGGGACTTTCCTTTTTAAATTTTCCTTGGAGTTCGGTTTTTTGTTATTTTACTTTAGTAAATATTAATAATTTCTCATTTGTTTTAATTTTTTCAGATGGCACCGTTGCACTATCTTATATTGGATGTTTTCAATGGAAAACTTCTATGAATAATCTGATAATTATATCGTTAAGGATATCATAAAGTCACTTATTAGGCAACCATTGATATGATGGTTTATAACTGAATTTGCTTTATAAAAAAAAGATGTTGTATGATTGCCTATGAGACAACTATCCACCAAAGTTCAAATTAAGTGGATATAAGGAATTATAGGCAACTGTACGGCCTTCAACAATGAGAAAAACCCATACCGTATAGTCAGCTATAAGAAGCCCCGACATGAAAAATATAAAACAATTAAATTGAGAAAAATAACGGCCTAATTTTTAACAAAAAAACAATTTACGAAAAACAAATATGACAGATATGAGACAACGGCAACCACTGAACTACAGGCTTCTGATTTGGGACAGGCACGTATAGAATGTGGCGGGCTTTATATAGTTTGCTGGAGCCAAACACTCCCCCTAACCTGCATATACATCCCACAACAAAAAGACACTTAGTAAAGATCTGAGAGTACTTGCAGTTACTGACAGCACGTTCAAAGCCAATGACAACTAATAAAAAAACTCATGTATCTAAGACTACGCTTACTAGTATCATATGTGTGTAGAGATTTTTAGTCATGAATTTATTACACCATATCTTTCTTTTTTTATTCTATTATAAATGCGGATACAAACTCATAATTCCACGTATGATGTAACAGAAAGTGATTTCAGACAAAATTATGTTTGGCAAATAAAAAAAAATTCAAAGAGATCAGAAACATTAATAATGTCCCCTTCTTTTTTTCCATTTGAGCATTGCAGTATCGAATTCATTTTTGTTCTTATCAAGTAACTCTTGAAGGAATAATATAGACAGGTCAACAATTCATCTAATAAGGAAATCATGCACCTGAGACAGACGATTACAATAATGAGACATTTTCACGGTAAATTATTGATTTTCATCTCTTTATAATAGTGTTAATATGTCATGTTATTGATATTAATCCCCATTGTGAAATTGGTTATCTTATGTTCTGTCAAGCATTCAGCTAAATACTTCCCTAACAATACCGTTTTTATGTGCAAATCAGAAATTTCAAACCACAATCCAGATTTAGAGTTCCTGTGATCCTGCCTACTAAGAGGCCCATGGGAACCAGATGTGGGTACTATAAATTCCGCAGATCTGTTTGACTACACCAATTCTCAAAGGTTCTTTATTATCAACTTAAATTTGATTAATAGAATAAATTTAACATTGTCTCATGAAAAAGAATGATCATCGTGGATACAAATACCTTAATACAGTAACAGTAGTTTACAGATATTTAAATCTCAACAAGGTTGCAAACAACCACTTACGACATCTCATTAGGCCATAAACAAGCGAGAAGTGATCGTCGACAGTTTAAGGATCTCTTGCTATGTTATATCCTACTGACAAATAGAACTGGTACACCATTTGACTTACATCTAGAATTCACAATGAGGGTCGGTAGAGAACAAAACTTTACAACAAAAGGAATGATTTAAGCTTCCCAATTGTGAACTTTCCATTTTTATGTAGCAAAATTTTAGCAGCGCCTGAATATGAAGTATATATCTTCCAGTTGATCGATATTTCAGAGCTTGCATTTCCTATCATGATTTTCTTGATAGAAGGTTGCTGATCACAAATCATCCCTTCGCAATTTTTATAGACGCCATTACGTATTGGTTGACCGTTATGGAATAACTGTTAAAAGAGGACGACGGATATGTTCCAATTGTCGTAACCACAATCCAGTCCTCTCTTCCTCGAATGTGACCTCCCAAATAAGACTTATCACCGGGTATGCACTTACATGAGCAACACGACAGGTGCCACTAGTGCAACAGGTTTCACCCCTGGCTTTTGTGGGGTTTGTGTTGCTCAGTTTTTAGGTTTTTATGTTGTGTAATGTGTACTGTTGTTTGTTTTTTTGTAGTTCTACTTTTGCCTAAATAAAACATTAAATCAATATTCTTCACATGAAAAGTCCGTTTCTATGTATGTTGGCGTTTGCTTTTGCTGTAGTTCGTTCAGTGATTTTGTTGTTCCGTTGTTTTCCTCTTATAATTGATGTGTTTCCTTCGGTTTTAGTTTGTTACCCGTATTTGTTTTTGATTAATAGAATTATGACTATTGAACAGCGGTATACTACTGTTGCCTTTATTTATCAAAATGGTCCTAGTATAGATTATATCGGTAAAGTATATATAAAGATTGCAAGCCTTTATAAAAATAGTTCTAGAATAAAATATATTCGGGAAAAACACTCTTTCACAAAATTTAAAAATGACAACGTTATTTTTGGGTACCTTAACAATGCACCATTTTCAAGAAAATTTGCTATCTTTGTGTATAAAATTGAGAATGGAAATGGGGAATATGTCAAAGAGACAACAACCCGACTAAAGAGCAGACAACAGCCGAAGGCCACCAATGGGTCTTCAATGCAGCGAGATCATCCCGCACTCGGAGGTGGTCCTCAGCTGGCCCCTAAATAAAATTGTGTGCTAGTTCAGTGAAAATGGACGTCACACTAAACTCCAAAACATATAAATGAACTAAAATTAAAAAACATACTAGACTAACAAAGGCCAGAGTCTCCTGACTCGGGACAGGCGCAAAAATGCGGCGGGGTTAAACATGTTTTGTGAGATCTCAGCCCTCCCCCTATACCTCTAGCCAATGTATGATAAAGAAACACATAGCAATACGCACAGTAAAGCTCAGTTTAAAAGAAGTCCGATTCCGATGTCAGAATAGGTAACAAAAGAAACTAAGCAAAATGACAATGATACATAAATTAACAAAGGACTACTAGCAGTTACTGACATGCCAGCTCCAGACCTCAATTAAACTGATTGAAAGATTATGTCTTCATCATATGAAAATCAAGTACAATCCCTCCCGTTAGGGGTTTAGTATTATACCATCATAAAATATATGAGAAGAACATAACCCGTATCATGCCAACAACTGGTTTTAGAATAAATGTGTTTATTTCCGATGCAAAGACCCTATGAGTGAATCAATATTAATACCAAAATATGCAATCCTTAATGACTTGACAACAGTATCGTAACTATATCCTTTCCGAATAAGTCTGTTTAAAGGTTTGGTTAGCTTTTGATGTGAATGCCGACATTTTTGTGCTTTGTAAAGGATATTACAATAAAATATTGGATGTATATCTGTATTATCTCTTTTCTTTTTTTTCTGTCTTGCTTTGTTAGATGATTTTCACGAGATTATTATCTGAAAATTGCAAAATGTTTTTAGACCACTAAAGACCTCAAACTACATTTGGCAGCTAGTCTGTAATTCGCATGTGTAATTTTTCTTAGATAAAGTTCTTTATGCATATTTTTTTAATACACATGTAGTTTTTTTTAAAGTAAATAGTGAACTGTCCTTGCTTTTCTTATTTTATTAAAATGAATGATAATTATGAATTTAATTAAAAAAGAGACAAGAAAAAAACAGTTACATGTCCAACATTTATTCGCAATCTTGTTTAAAAATCATGTTTAACTGTTCCTTTTCAATTTTATGTAGTGATGTATATCTTTCAGTGAATTAAGCACGGTATGAATAGTTCGTTCCCTAATTATTTTGCTTTTAATCTCTCAATCACAGACAGTTCTGATTGACGTGCATTGTACACGTTGCTGTGATTAAGACAAACATGACAGTAATACGAAGAGGTGATAATTGCAAAGATCAATTAAACGATACTGAATCATGGGTATTTTTTGACATCCGGCCGACCAAATCTATCAACACACAACGATCTTCCAATATCCAGATCATACTGACATGTTCTGTAACCAAGGTTAAAGTTCATTGTACAAACATGCCCCATTTTACACGCTGAGTTAAGGAAACACATTTTGTGTGGCATACATAATCCATTTTCACAGGAGCCATCTGGGCATCCTTGTTTACAGTTAAGCCTGGGATAGCAAATAGCTTTAAAGGCACAAAATTGATGTTCACAGCATCCGTCTGAACAATACTGATACTGAAAATAGAAAGATAATTGAATGTTATCATGAGGGAGGTTTGTCCTTTTAAGTTCTATTACATTCCAAAATAAATCATAAAGAAAATTTTTCACAAAGTAGTAGCTTATTTGCTCTTCAATATTTGTATTATGTCTTGGAATTTCATATAACTGCATCGTGCATCATTGAAGATGCATTAATGGTCGTAATACCCATCTGCTGCAGTAAAATCAGTACCGTTAATGTCATTGCACCCCAACTTTTTTTTAATTATACGAGCTCCGACAATTGGTTCCAGAATATTTTGTGAACTGTAAAAAAACAACTTTTTCGCAATCCAATCGGTAGAGCTGGAATTAAATTTTATGGTCAAAACATACATTCAATTGTTAAAGGTAAAATAACAAAACTACGGAACTCCAAGGAAAAATTCAAAACGGAAAGTTCTTTATTAAATGGCAAAATCAAAAGCTCAAACACACCAAACGAATGGAAAACAACTTTAACTGATTATACCTTTCACTTAAATACAAATTTTATGTCCTGGACCAAGATGAATGCTTTATGTCTTATCGTTTGCGGTTCAAATTCTGTATTTTTGGTACATTTCACATATGTCTTATTTGTCAGTATAGTCGAGTTACTCGTGGTTCGTCTACAGTGTTTTTGTTTCCTGTTGTTTGTTTCAAGTCTGTTTACTGTTTGTGTGGTCTTACATGATCTTGCCTTATATTACAGTTATTCTATTTTTATTTTCTATAATTATGTATGTAAAAGTTCAGATAATTCATTAGCTATTTCATTTATATGATTTTTAGTTTAAAGCAACTATATGCACAGGGTTTTTTTGCTTATACACAGTTTTGATTTAGAAGAAAAGCCGACATGGTTAGAAAATACAAATAATAACACCAATATTGGACAGCGGTATACTACTGTTGCCTTTATTTACCTATTCAAAATGCCATTATTATCACTTTATTTGCTTAGATTCCTTAAAAACACACCCGAACAGTTCCTTTCACTGTCCATTCATTTACCATTTCCCTACTATTAACCTTATTAATAATATTTCAGTATAAAATCTAACATACAATCTTTTCATTACCTGAGCTAAAATTCAGAAAGTAATTGACAGACAGAATGATATAATTCAAAATGAACAACTTGATTTTAAAATCAGACTTTTCACAATTAGTTTTATATTTTAGGCACCGTGTTCATTGAGGATAGGGTTAGAATCTCACTGTTAACAAGATTTGCTTACTAAATTCGATTTTTATCAGTTTTATGGCACCCAAACGGGCCATTAGGTTATAAGAATACAAGAATCTTTCATTGTAATGGTTCGTAACTATATTCTTTTCAATTAGTAATTATAAGTTTCTCATTTAAACACCCTATCAAAGTTATCTCGGAATCTTTTTGACATTTTCGTCTTCGAACATTAAACAATCACTCTCTACATATGATATAAGCAATACCGAAGTCCTAGTTTAGATACTTAAATTTGTATAGTAAAATGTCTGTATTCAGTTGTCCATCACGAAAGGTTTTAGCAATCTGTCACGTTTAAACTTTACAAGCAGTATCCGGATAATCCGATTTACTATGTATTTGTGTGCAAGGTTTTTGGTGGATATTTTTTGGGGGGACGGGGAGGATTCTTTGGTTTTTTTCATTATTTATTTATTTATTATTTCTTATTGTTATGATTTTAACTATCATTGTTTTCATTATAATTAAAAGTGTGCAAAGGTACTTGTCTCTTGAAATATATACATTTCTAGATGTAAACCACAAAATTGCTTGTACTTCAATTTTGCGATCTGTGTGCAGTCTAATAGTGTTTCTGTTTCAATTTAGTTATAATATTCATTTACACCTTTGTAGTAGTTTACATCAAGAATCAAGATGTGTCGTTTAAATCTACTTGTGTATTTTTTAAATTTAAGTTTTGTTTAAATACTTTTTATACGAGTTGACAGTAGTTTACCATTGTTTTAAATTTGAAATAAACCAAACCAAGAGATAAAAACCCTTAAGAAATAACATTAAGTCCAAACAAAAGCGTGACCGAATGCATCGGAAGGGTGAGCGTCTACTGCATGTATGCATTTAACGGCTATAAAATATAGTAGCCCACATTTTACATGAATTTGAAATTGAGAAATCATTATGGTTTGAATACAATCTTCATTCTATAGTATTTATGCAACCAGTTTTTAAAATTATATTAGATGAATTTTCAATTTGATGCAGTCAAAAGTTTATTCATGAATATTTTACAAGTGACATAAATATGATAGACGTTGATATCAACACAGTACATCGTAATGACGGTGAAACAAAAAAGATGAGCTAACTACAAAAATCCCTTTATAAGTTGTTTGTCACTTCCTTAAGATTTAAGATTAATTAAAAAAAAAGTTTGTACATTGTTATGATTCTTATAAGAATTCAATATCTTAGAAGAATTCAGAAGCCTTTGAAAGTCACCAATGTTGAATTTTTTTGTGCGGAGATATAATGCAATACACTAACATATTTCAAATCGGTTCTGTCTGGTAATGAGGGAAAAATAAGAAAAGAAATGATAAAATTTTGGAGAAAAATATACTCCAGTTACGTTTAAAAGGGAAACTATATATTAAAGAAGAGATGATAAGAAAAGTGCTCAATCGATGCAATTTAATTTTTATTTAGAGGGATTCTATTCATGGTATTAAGTGAACAGAATATACCTACTGTAAAACTATTCTTGGCCATGGTTGTACTTTCTCAAGAAACATGTATTTGACAAGAAGTAAGACATAAGGACATTGTTTTCTACATTGACAATTCATACGTTGGACCAAACATTAGAATTATAGCAGTGGGTATTTATTTTTTTTTTTTTTCGAGACTTAAATCAAATAATATGTTGTATTTACATAGATTAAGAATATAATTATAATAGTTTAGTATGAGTAGGAAACTCATCATAGACACACAGAATGTATGTAGATCAGTTTTATTAACAACGATCATAAGTGTATCAATAATTTCTAAACTTAATTTTCGTTTTAAACCCATGCATTTATTGGCAATATCAGACAATTCTGTGGAACACATTGTTTATTGTAAAAAATCTGAATCCAAAAATCATAAATTGTTAAATATAGATATTCACTAATGATCTCTCTATATCTGACATATTGATGTTTTATAAATGAAATCAATATTATCTACATTCTGTCATCATACATTTTCCTTGGAGATTATATATTCTGGAAAATACCCAACAGAATTAAAATTTGGCAACAAAATAAAAATTGTCTATTTCACTAAATTCTACCCTTTTATTCAAAATCCGATATGGAGATTATCTAAACATTCTCATTAGACTGTTATTCCTTAACAATATTAGTTCATGCGTTTAATACCAGTTTCTTTTTCTAAGTCGAAAAATCCTTACTAAGGAAACACGATGTTTTCAATTCAAAATACTTGATAGAAAAAAAATATGGATATTTCAATTGACAAAATATTGAACAGATATATCATGTTCAGGAGGGGTATTTGCGAAAAATACCAGTCGAGAGAATGTTAAATTTCGCGAGCCGTAAGGTGAGGGAAATTCATTCTCAAGACTGGTATTTTTCGCAAATACCCCTCAAGAACATGCTATATCTGTTTAATTACACCGAATGTTAACGTACAAAACGCATTGATGATCGTGACATTACAAGCGTCCAGTCGGATAGAGTATTTTTTGGCAAATACCACGGCAGAGAGGGTAAAAAAGGCATATCCTTTTTGCATATACCCCGGCGCTGTTTAAAAATGAACGATATTCATTTGATAAAAGTAAATTGGTGAAAAATACACTGGCTATCAACCAATCAAAACCCAGGATTCTTACATAAGGTGTAATTATGGTTAAAATGCTTTATGTGTGCTCCTTTCTTAGTCGACATGTTCTTGTACTTATATAAGCAGAACTGCATCATTCTTGTTCTCGTTTATTTCACTGAATTTGAAAATAAGGACACTGTATGCACACAGAGGTGTGGTTTATAACTCGTACAGTCTTGAGGAAGAACGACTGAAATCGTTACTACATCAGTTTGACGTTCACCATCACGAATTGGTTGACCGATACCATCTGTCTGCGTCCCAACTCACTAGCGACATAAAGTTGCAATGTTCTTACCAGAATAGTAGTCTAAACATTTAATTTGTTTTCTTAATCAATCAATATGATTTGAACAACAATAAAATACTTTTGTCTTAATTCATATTTTGAATTTTTCTATTGAATATTACCGTTATGGGTAATTCAATATCAGGATCAATGAAAAAGATGCAAAGATTTCCTATTGTAAACTTATCGACCACATTATTTAAATTGACGTAATTGCCTCGAAATAGAGTTTTCATTTGAGTCAATATTGCGCAATGTAGACGTTATGTAAGCTCTCTGACTACCCTTTTTATGTTATATATGTTCTTCTGTCTATCGTATTTACTACTGGTATATTGTGTTTCTCGAAATTATAACGAATTTAGATACGGCAATTTAAATGGCATGTTTTTACTTCTACTTTGCTTTAGCAGACCGCAAGAAGTAGTGTCAATCCCATCTTATCAAGAAAGCATTGAAGGAGATTTGAGACAATCAACAGATAATGACATAGACGATGCCTGTCATTCCGTATTCATTATACACGCTATGTCCGCACAGGATATTACAGAGCAATTTAAATCAAAACTAATGAAAGTAAAAGTAAGCACCGAACTTATTAGTCCTTCAGAAATTAAAACTGTATTATTGTCGAAATACGGATTTATATAAACTCACAGAGATTTTAATTTCAAAAATTCAGAAATGTCATTCTACAAGGAGTACACTGTATATAAATGAAATCATTATTCACTAAAGGCAACCAGACGTGATATCGAATATGTTCATTTTTTTTTACTACGGTATATTTTTAAAAGTTTTTCGTTATTCGTCATGTCATTATTAGTTTATTTTTCGAATCATGCGTTTAAATATCCCTTTGATCAGCTTAGATTTGTAAAGAAATACAACTTTTGACATATGTAATATAAATCAGTTGATTTATTTATACATTTTAAAATGAAATCACAAAATGAAACTTCAAAAATGCTGAAACCGCGCCTTTGTCTTTTCCTTTCTTTTCCGTGTTTTTTTTTTTTTTCTACTTGAACGTAAGGTATAGAGTTTACACTTGACAGTAAAAGGGTTAAATATCGTCGATGGATTATCATCTGAATGTGAACTACTTTCCTAAGTATATAAACTCAACATAGAGCAGTGAAAAGTACATCATATCAATTTCTCTTGGAAAATAAATTTGTAAATATTGCTATTATGAAATGATTACTAAAAAAACAACCATATTTTAAGGAAATAATGAAAAATTAATGTACAACCGTAAAAAAAATATCAAATTGTCCTAGTAGAATTATGGACATGGCTATTTTTACATAGGAAAATTTAAAACATGGACGTTTTCACGTAGTGAAATTAATCTGTTCACTCAAATATCCGACATCAGAATAAAAATACAAGTAAAACATGGCAACGCAACGGTACATAGATGTATAAATCCGTTAAATTGCGTCAAGAGTATTACTTTCTATACATGTGAGTAATTTCTGTAAGTCTTGCTAAGAATTTTATTTTGGACTCTATGTTTAATGTATTTAATTTGAATTATAAGGGATCAAAGTTATTTTACGGAGTTTACTGAGATTTTATTATATAATGAAAACACATTGCTTATTCTTATACATTTTCATTTAATAACTCAATGCAAAGATGGATGTTTCTAATTTCTTTCGAAGACAAATCATCAATCAATTTATAAGACGCTTAGAACGTTCAGTACATTTCCCGAATAGACAAATCCTGCCTTGAATATTGACGTGCTAATGAATATGAAATGTGCGTGACCGTTACATATTTATATTTATTCCTTGTAGCAAGATTTGGTAGAAAGATATTTGATAAAGATGTGCTAATAATTGAAAGTGTTCGTATGAATTGATTACTACACACTTGGGAATGGAAATCAAGTTTGTAGCGTCTCAAATTTTGTAACTTAAAGAGTTAACAACACTTAACGTGAGCTACGTTTTTATATTGGCATGATTTGAGTGATATTTCTATTGTAACTGCAATGTTTGAACTATATTTTTTAGATTAATAAATCTCCTTCAGGTAAAATTGACCTAAGACGGTTTTGACTATGCTTGTTTTTGGTTTCCCGTTTATATGATGGTTGCTATTACATAAAAAAAAGTTATGATAGTTTGCGTCATGAAATAAATATGTAAATGTTTAAACTTTTTATCTATAGAAATATTTTCATACATTTTTCTTTTCTCTATAGTTTCATCTTATTGATTTTTATAAACACAACGATTATTGCATACAGCTTATTGTCGTGAAATGCAAGTTACACGTAGTGTATAACAGCTGTTAAGGCCATGTTTGAATGGCAGACCTTTTGTGAATTTGACGTTAATAGATATAAGAAGATGTGGTATGAGTGCCAATGAGACAACTCTCCATCCAAGTCAGAATTTATAAAAGTAAACCATTATAGGTCAAAGTACGGTCTTCAACACGGAGCCTTGGCTCACACAGAACAGCAAGCTATAAAGGGCCCCAAAAATTACTAGTGTAAAACCATTCAAACGGGAAAACCAACGGCCTAATCCATATAAAAAACGAGAAACGAGAAACACTTATGAACCACATCAAAAAACGAACTACTGAACATCAGATTCATGACTTAGGAGAGGTGCAAACAAATGCAGTGGGTTTAAACGTTTTAGTGGTACCAAACCTTCACCCTTTTTCTGAAACAATAGTGTAACATCACAACATAGAAAGACACACTATAACATATCAACTGAAATAGCTTAACTCAATCAAAGGACATATTAACACCAGTGAACATACACTGAACAAATAAATTTGACCTATAAAACAATGTAAATACAAAATAAATAAACTAAGGGAAGAATTATAAAAGTAACATGTTATATCGGTATGAAATGTTAAACAATTTAAGAAAAACAATATGCTCGAACAAAAATATGAGCCATTTGCAATTACTTTAAACACAGGTAAATGAAAATAATTTTGTTGTTAGATTTTCCGAATAGATCATTCGGGAACAAAGAAACGGAAGATATCAAAGAAGGAATCAAAACTCATGAGCCGAAGAGAGACCACCAAAGAACAGTCTATAAAACACTGCACAAATAACTAAAGACTGAGCAACACAAATCCCACTAAAATCAGAGGTGATATCAGGTGCTCTGAAAGGATGTTATATCCTGATCTAGATGTTGCACCCGTCGTGTTGCTCATGGTTAATACAAATTTGGTGTTTAGTCTCATTCCATGAGTCCATACAGGAAGGAGAACTGCTACGACAATTTAAACAATTACGTGATCGACTGTAACACAGATATTCCATAACGGTCAACCGACTCATGTACAGACTCATGTTGGCACCCGTAAAGCATTTCGAAGAGAAATTAACCACTAAGAATCATTGGTTCAATAAATTCCTTGTATGCAACATCTCTATCAAGAAAATCACGATAATACCTACGTTGGCTTTCTTAAGAATTAAGAGAAGTTAGACTATTTCTTTCAATCTGTATTTAAGATTAGAATGAGGAATAAAAGTGCAAAGAGTAAATAAGTCAAATGTTTTATTTTGAAAGAGATAACATACGTTGTACTATTGCAAATGGAAAGAGACTTTGGTTGTAGGAATTCTAAAAGATTTTTGTTTTCTATGTGAATTCCAATTTTGAATGCCCTTTGTTTACCAAATATCCAGAAATCAAATAATTGTCAATTATATTTTATAAATAACAATTTGTCATTCGAAGATTAGTCTCATAAAAATCAAATACAAATATGTGTGAGAATATATATTCATTTTTGTTTTGATCATCTCTTCCAACGTTTTTATTAGGTTTTGGATTTTCAAATATTTCGACCTAGAGCATCACTAAAGAGACATTACTTGTCGAAATGCGCCTCGGGTGCATAAAAAAAATTAGTACCGTTGATTTAACTATTTTCTTATCTTGTGCCAAAGTTTTATAGATTTGTTATAACAAAAAATATTGAAAATAGCCAAAAGTCCTAAGGTTCAAATTCACAAACTAGAGTATCAAAAGCACATTAATTATCATATTGATATGTCATTTGATGGGAAATGAGTAGAGGAAGGTTTGAACTATATAGAACTTAACTTTGAAAAATCACTAGATATACGGCTTTCATGTATTATCCAACCACGGTTTTAAGCAAACAAAAATTATGATGTTGTATAAAATTCTCAACATGTTCATGTGCTACAGATAAAGAATGTGTTCTCATTTTTATCAATGTTTAGCTCAAGTTATACTACGTGCAAATGCTTACGAAAAAGGCTGAGAGCTTATAATATTTATCAGTTACCACGTTACTTTAATTAATATGACAATGCAATTGTATGGGAAAGTATGGCATAGTTAACAAACATGATGTTTTAAATGGCTATTAATGTAGTATGAACGGCTGCTAATTTTTAATGTAAAAGCCAAACAAATATGATGTAAAACCTTTATAAAAATAACACATATTGAAAGGCATCGAGTATATCATATATAAGTCGAAAAAAGGGTAAGTTTTAAAAAGACGATAACGCGAAGTGAAAGTCTTTTTCTTTAAGTATGCATGATCAACAGCTTCTCTCTTGTTTCTCTATAGTATCGCATTTACACATTTATCATTTAATGAATAAGAATGCTATGCAGATTTAAAATTAATGTATATTTTATCAATAATCTAATAATATTGATCAACACAATACAATCAATACACAATTTAACTTTAAAGAATATGTTTCTTAATTGCAATTAATTTACAAAAATGTGTAACTTATACCTTAGCCGAACATTTCTTTTAAGGTATATAGAAACATAATATCAGTGAATGCTGCAGTGTATAATGGTATAACTTACCCGTCCACCGTTCGTTGTTCTCAATATCAAAAATAGGCAAAAAGATAAAATAATATTTCTCATTTTAAAAACTTCCATCCCACTTGTAGCGAAGCCATTTCCGTCATTAATTCATCTCGGAGTAAAGTTACGGAAACCTTGCATGCGACAATACCTCGGCTTTTTATTGATGATCGAAGACGTCCAATTCCATAGAGTTTTACCGTATGCAACCTTCCGCTATCAGTTATTTATAAGCATATATAGATGCTTTATTAATATGTTTCACTGGGGGAGAAAATACGATATCAATAACATATAAATATGACAAAGAGCAAATTATCAAAGTTTTACGTCAACTCCAAACTTCATTAGAGACAATCTCTTCCTGGAAATTCAAATAAAAAAATGACATTACACGATGGTTGCTTTTCAATTGCTTTAATAAAATACCAACTTTATGTATCCTAGCAACACAAATTAAATTATGAAATATTTTACGTAAGTTTTATGGAATTTTAAAATTAAAAGACACATTATCTTTAAAATCACGACTGAATGCAGATCAATACAATTAATGATTTATAAAGGAAATTTAGATTGCCTTCTGTTAATATGCATACAAAATTCGATAACTCATTTAAGTTCAGTTAGAGACGTTTCTACTAGTTGACAGGCTTTACTGTTTTAAGGTAAAAACACATTATAAAACATTTAACGTGTTTGAAATATAATTCGTCAACAAAACGGCATTACCATCTTAATAAATATAACATCGCTGTAGATGTCGAAATATTCAGTGAACAAATTCGGAAAAATAAATCGAAGCGTAAAATGTACCTAAAAGTTAATAAATCTTGCTGTTTATACCTCATTTTGATTGATTCTTCAAAAAAATGTATGAGATTTTTGAGATACATTTGCTGTCACTAAAATATCATGAAAAAAATTAGTATAAATAGTACTTTGAGCAAATATGTGAGTCACATGCAAAGTTATATTTTGATTTCTTTTTGTTTTAATGAATACTATATTAATTATGTTATTTTGAAATAACATTCTAGAGGAGTTATGTCTTTCAGTTAAGTTTGATATAATTCACATCGGTACAAGTATTCTCATTAAAACTTATTTCACGTCTCTAAGAAAAAATAAGATCCTAATTATTTTTGCAATAACAATGATACTCCTATATCAACATCCGTTTAAATAGTATAACTCATAAAAAAATCAAAAATCATAGTTTAGTTTCAATCTTACAAACCGATCATTAAATCTCAGAGGACTTCTCGGCTTCAATTATACAATTCCTATTTGGAAAGCAATTAAATCCCGGTTGAGTACTTTTCGTGATTTTTTACCAAGCGGGAACATGTAGATGTCTGAAACCTTCAAGGATACCATTTAAAGATTACAATTCTCAGCACAATCCGCATTAATCAAGATTTCAAGACATCTGAATGATTTATCAAAACATTTGTGTTATTTTTGTACATAGCTGCAGTTTTATATGTCACTCTCATGACGAAGATATACCAAACATTACTTAAGCGATATAGTTATGATCAATCTAACAATATGGTACAAGTGAGATAGAATATTAAGACGAAGTTGTTTTTGAAATTATGATATTATAAATTCGCCCGATTAACAATTTTCCCATTTTTTTTTTTTTTTTTTTTTTTTTGCTGTTTTGGAAGATTAAGGCAATAGTACAATTAAAAAACATGATCTCATTATAAAATAATAATAATTTTTTATAATGCTTTTTGCTCGCTTTTATGGAATAACAAAGGACTACAGAGTACGGTCAGTTAGGTAAGAACGTTGTCAGGTATAATCAGAAACTAAGTCATATATATTTTTTTTCAATAGTATATTTTATAATTCATAAAATTGATAACAGGAATTACCTAAATATTGGATAAAATAAAAATGTATTAGTTACTATGCCTTTTGCGTTATTCATTCGATGTCATTCGATTCGACATTGAGGATCTCTTATATCTCCCACCGTTTTTACGTATTCATACCTCCCTGGATTTCAAATGTTAAAGTTTGAGCATTCCAGATGAAGGTAAATCCAGAAAAGTGCTTCGGACGCAACATTTAATAAAGAGTTATTTTGATTTAATAGCACGTGGAGCAGGAACTGATTACCGTTCTTGTGCACCACCGATCAACTCCGGGTTTCATGTTGCTCAGTAGAATGTAGTGTTTTGTTACTGTTGTTTGTCTTTTCATCATTCTTCGTTTTTGCCATGATTTTGTTGGTCACTCTTGGACATATGAGTCATGATTTCTCTTTTTGTCTTCCACCTCTTTTTATGACATAATGATGACAGACTTCATTTATTTTTTTTCTTCGTTGACCTTGAAAATATTTGAAAATATGAAACCTTCCTACGGATAGGCTATTTCATAACTCGATCAAGACTTTGAATGTCGAATTACTTATCTGAAATTTCAAGGTTTGATGTTGATTACAAATGTCGAATTTCAAACTCAAGATATTGAATCTCGAATCTCGAATTCTTGAATAACGACTGCACTTCTGGGTTTCATAACTTTATGAGTACAATGAACTTTTTGTACCTCTGTTGTAAAATGACAAACAACTGATAATATATGATTTTTTATTACTCTTAGAATTCGAAAATGCCTTTAATGTGATCCAATATTAGCATTTAGACTCGAAATAACAAATTTACCATGAGGAATATTTTTTCTTTTTATATCTTAGAGATCATACGAGTTAAAGGTCTTAATCGTTAACTATTTATCAATGACGTTTTTGTACATCAATCATAACATATACATACCATATTACTTACCGATCTGGAAAAAGCAAACACATTTTAATTAACGAAGACAAAGATTTATTTTTGAAATACTATTTTATCGATTTTGTCTTATCAATAACTCTGGATTCACAAAACTGTTGGATGCATGCAAAGAAGTTAACGTTACCCGGTCGTGATCCATATGGAGTTTACGCGATTCCAATTTCTGTTCTCTTTTTTGATGGATCAGATGATTTTTTTTATTACAAAATGATTCAATCGAACAGAAGAACAACCAAGTTTATGCAGATAAGGATGAATAACACTTCTCTGATTGTTTGATAAATTCTTTTGTATCTACAGTTAATAAATAATACTTCGAAATACTAAGGTTTTTCTACCACAGGAATGGATTACCTTCGCAATTTTTAACAAAACTTTTCAGAATTTTTGGTTCTCAATGCTCTTCAACTTTGAACTCTATTTGATTAGAGCGTCGCTGATGAGTCTTTTGTTAACGAAATACGCGTCTGAATACACAATTTTGATACTGATATCTATGATGAGTTTATTGACAACTACTGAGTCAATGACTCCACTGGTGGGGGAGTATCACCAGCTCAGTAGTCAGCGCTTTTGTCTTGACATTAGTTAAAACTTTTTAGAAATACTAAGGATTTACTACCTCCAGGAATAGATTACCTTAGTTGTTTATGTCAAAACCTTTTTGGAATTTTGGACCTCAATACTTTACTACTTCGTATACATAAACCTCATGATTGCACATGGGCTAGAGCCCTATTTATATTAAATCCTTCTGGCCATGTAATTACTGAAGACCTGAAAATTGTCAGCAACACTTTGCTTCGAAATGTGTTAACAAAAGAACCGCAATACCATGAGCCTTAATCCATAAATCGGAAACACCTACTTTGAAATAGTAATTGATTCAGTCAAGGACTTTGCTAGTGATAGGCTTAACGCGAAACACGTAGATACTCTTACGGAAAAGGTTATTAGCTTTTTCTATAAAAATGGGAATCGTAGATATAAATTTCTTGTTTCGGGTTATAATAATTCTTATTTTGTGAAGAACCACACTGATTCTACCACAATATATACTGAAGATGATATTATCAAAATGCTGGACTTTTTGGTCGACAATATATTTGTTGAGTTTGGAGGATTGATATTTCAACAGACAGTCGATATTCTAATGGGTACTAATTGTGCACCCCTACTGGCCGATTTGTTTTTGTACTCGTATGAAGCAGAATTCATTCAAAACTTTCTTAAAGACAAAAATAAGCACCTTGCGAAATTCTTTTATTTTACTTTCAGATATATTGACGATGTCCTATCACTGAATAACCCATATTTCAGCCAGTACTTACATCTCATATGTCCCAGTGAACTTGAAATTAAGGATACTACTGATACTAGAAGGACTGCTTCATACCTTGATCTTTTCCTCAATATTGACACAGATGGACGACTTCACACTAAAATCTATGACAAATGGGACGATTTCAACTTCCCAATTATCAATTTCCCATTGCTCAGCAGTAACATACCCTCTGCCCCATCGGATGGTGTTTACATATCTCAGTTGATACGTTATGCTCGTGCATGTTCACATTATGCAGATTTAATATACAGTGTACTCCTTACGCAAAAACTGCTCCAACAGAGTTATGAGGAGGAAAGATTAAAAATGACACTCCGTAAATTTTATGGACACCATCACGAATTGGTTGATCTATACGATGTTTCTGTGTCTAAACTAACTAACAACATCTTGTAATGGTTAAAAAATACATCAAATAACACCATTGCAAACTTAATCCCAATTTTATATTCTATTTTTAGAAATTTACATGTGACGTCACTTTTTGTGCCGTTGATACATTCGTGTGACGCACAGTTTATTATTCTATTGTGCTGTATTTGTGTTCTGTCGTAAATTAATTTTAGGTGTTCGTTGTTATTCTGTGGTTTTCATGTTGAATTGTACTATTATATTATTTATTTATGTATTTCTCTGTCCTGAATGTTCTCTCATTTATTTGTACTGTATTCCTGTTACGTAATGTTGTCATTGTAGAGATATTTTTAACATTTCCGTATAAGCGGGAGGTTTGGCTATCCATAAAACCAGGTTCAAAATAAAGGCAACAGTAGTATACCGCTGTTCGAAATTCATAAATCGATTGAGAAAAAAACAAATCCGGGTTACAAACTAAAACTGAGGGAAACACATCAAATATAAGAGGAGAACTACGACACAACAGAAACACAACATTAAAATGTAACACACACAGAAACGAACTATAACATAACAATGGCCATTTTCCTGACTTGGTATAGGACATGTTAAGAAAAACATGGTGGGTTGAACCTGGTTTTGTGGCAAGCCAAACCCACCATTTTTTCTTAAAATGTCCGGTACCAAGTCAGGATTATGGCAGTTGTTATCACATACTCCGTTTCTATGTATGTTGGCGTTTGTTTTTGTAGCAGTTCGGTGTTTCTCTTGTTCCGTTTTGTTTCCTCTTATAGTTGATGTGTTTC